TATTGTAAACTGTTATTATTCTGTGGCCAGCTTATACACAAAATATTCCATTGAACATGTGAGCTTCTCCGTCACAAAAGATGGAAGGTGATGGTGGCATTTATATAATATATTGTCCCTTGTTAGTGCTTGTCACATCTGAGGAGAGACAGAGACCATTCACCATGTGTTGGAGATGCATTTGATTTGATTTGAAGTCAGTACAGAGACCAAGCACTCATTACCAGGAAAGAAAGTTGTACTTGTAGTAGCTTCTCAGTGGAAGCTACTTCCAGAAACAACTTTAGCTTTATTAAAAACTAAATAGCAGTAGTGTTAGACATCTCACCTAAGAAGATAAATATGTACTGTTGTACTTAAGAAAAAAAGAACCAAAAAACTTCCCCCCCCTGCCATGAACAGCAAGAAATATATTTACTGCTTTAAAAGGAGGAGAGAGAATGCCCCTTTTCTTTATTACTTTCTAAATAAAAATTTGTATACTTACTACTGGCAGAAGTTTTTAACAACAGACTCAGTTCTTAGCTGCACTATCTGTATATAGTGTTACTTACACTATGCACTGAAAAAAAATCTATGTAGAGATGGCTGTGGCAACTACAGCAACACGAACCACAGTCCCCACAGGATGGACTATCATGCCACTACTTGTCTCCTGGCCACCTCATCAGCAGCAGAAGAGATGCTTTTAAATCTCATTATGACCTGCAGAGGTAAGCGGATCAGCTGAGCCAGAGGAAGACATCCTCCAGCACAGGACTGGAGAGTTGTCCTGTGCGGGTCGGGCTGGCGCAGCCCCTGAGCCGGGCGGGCGGTGTGAGGGTGCTGCCGGTGCCCTCGCGATGAGCGGTGCGCTGGGAAGGGGGAAATGATCGCGCTGAGAGCGCAGCCGCATCGAGCACAAACCAGGCGCTCGGTTCGGCTTCGCTGCCTTTAACGGCTGGGGCAAAGCAACCTCGTACCGCGTTTTACACCTCAGTATTTGTCTCTTTCCTGCAGCCGCGCCCCCACAGTGCCGGCACACCTGCCTTGGCCGCCGCTCGGGGGCGGAGGCTCCGGGGCTCCTCCTTGCGCCGGGCGCGGGGCGGGCCCGGCCTGGCGCGGGCCGGAGGAGGCGGCTCCGGGCCGT